CAAGCTGTGGGATTTCAGGTGTGTGCCACTGCGCCTGGCATTTTTTTCATTATTGAAAGGGAAAAAAGAGCTCTGCTTGTTCTGAAAATAATCAGGTTCTATTCTTGAATTCTTACTATATTCTGGGGATTATCTATAGAAGATTATTAATCTCTTGGTAGCTCCAACCCATCAGCTAGAATGCTCATGTCATGTTGCTCATAACCAAGAAAAATCAGGAGCATAAATTTGGGGTCCCCCTGAATCTGTGCTAAGAGATGAGATGACTCAGGATATGATGAGAAGGTTGTGACCTTGAGCCAGGTGGCTTCCGGGAAGGGAAGGAGGGAAGGGCAAAGTAGGGGTCCTGGGGATAAAAAAGGCATTAGTCACCATCTGACCATTCAATTTACATTTTTTATGAGGAAGGATATATACATATATATATATTTTGTACCAGGGTTTGAACTCAGGGGAACTCCACTGAGCCACATTCCCAGCCCTATTTTGTATTTTATTTTGAGACAGGATTTCACTGAATTTAGCTCTTCACCGTTGCTAAGGATTCAATTGTGTGGCCAATGATTTAGTCAATCCTACCTACCTGATGGAATTTCAATAAGATATCTGGACATGGAGGCTCCGTGGGGCTTCAAGGTTGAGCATATGGCTGGGTGGGAGGATGAGGGGCTCTGATTCCATGAGGACATAAAATATATTAAGATATATTTTAAATGAATATGGCAGGGAAGCTTTGCATTTGAGATGCTCCCAAACTTTGCCTTGTGTCTTGTTCTGATTTGTGTCTTTTATGATAAAATTGTAATAATAAATGTAAAAAAAAATTGTTGTCTTCATAATAATTAAATGCATACCACTAAAACCAAAACCAAACAACTTTGTTTTAGCAGTAGGTTAGATTACATATGCTCTTTTTAAATTTTTTCTTTTTTTTTAGTTATAGTTGGACATAATACCTTTATTTTTATTTATTTTTATGTGGTGCTGAGGATCCAACCCAGGGCCTTCCAAGTGCTAGGTGAGTACTCTACCCTGAGCCACAACCCCAGCCCTTGTTTATGCTCTTACCCTGATTAAATTTATAGTAAATAATTTAAATTGAGAGGAACTTAAGGTGATTTCACTTGATAAGGGAAGTACTTTACAAAAAACACAATAACTAATTCATTCAAACAACCTCCAAGTCAACTTAACTGCTTATCTAAGAGAGTTCACATGTATACTTTTATCTGCTATGAATATACACTTATAACTGCTGGCAATTATAACAAAGTAACAATCAACACCTATGTGTAGAATGCTTCTCTGCAGCAACAAGCTGACAGCCCTAGCAGTTTGAAAGCTTGACCCAGTCCTAGGCACTACCACAGAAGGCTCTGCTGGCCTGGGCAGAGGAAGATGCAGAACTATGGGTTGGGTCCAAGGCCTGCAGCAATGTTTTTCAAACTTTCAAAACCATGAACCACATGAAGAAATGTTTTATGTCACACCTAGTACACATACTTATGAGACAAGTCCAGAAATGAAGTTTACTTTAAGTAGGCAGCTTTGTGTTCTCTACAGCATTAAAAATAAAATGTCTGGTTATAATATTATAAGTTGATATTATAACTCACTACAGGGTCATTACAGACTTAAAACTAGAGGATAGTTTATGAAAATATGAAATTAAGAGTAATTGATGAGGGAGAGATCAAGGTAATTCCATGATGAGACTGTTTAGTTAATTAATTTATATTCAATTCTCATCCCCAATCATATAAAATTTTCTCAGATCCTCTAGGAAACTTTTAAAATTTTTATTTGTTAGAGTTAGTGTCTTGATTTACTTCTCATTACTAAAGATCAGTATGCTTTGTTATATATAGACTTATGAAAAACACAAGTAAAATATATTTTAAATGAATAATCATGTTTTAAAATTGGTATTTACAGATCAGATTAAGGCTTTAGTATTTTACCCAAGGTTTATAACATCAGATAACAGTTTCCTTACTTACCTACTCTGATGAATAAAATAGTATAATTTTTATATATTTACCTGATTCTGACTTTTACTGTTCTCATCTTCATGGTCAAAGATGATATCACTTTCAGAATCTGATGCAGGTCTTAAAAAGAAACAGAAAAGTGCTAAAGAAATCAAAATCCCTGTAATAATTCTAAAAATTGACATTCAAATTAATAGAAAGCAAAAGAGGCTAGAGACATTATGACTCCATGGCATAAATCTGTACATATCACCATGTGGATTTGTACTTCTCTATTATGCAAAACATATATAACTCTTGAAAATTAGCGAAATTAAGTCTCTTAAAACAAATGTCATAGCTAAGAGTTATGATAAATTGTACCCAACTGGATGTGATGAAATAAAACCATGAAGGTAAATGGCCAGGATTCTGAGATGAATAAAGTTTAGAGTAGGGTTATAATTATTCATTTGGTACTTTCTTGGGAACTGCAGTTGGTATTGTATTAAGACTTCAAATTAGTTCTTTGTGTGTATGTGTGTGTGTGTGTGTATGTGTGTGTGTGTTAGGTTCTCTACCAATGACCTTTATCCTCAGCCCAATTATTTTTATTTGTGAGACAGGTTCTGGCTAAGTTGCCCAGGCTGGTCTGGAACTTGTGATCCACCTGTCTCATTTAACTGAATAGCTGGGATCACAGGCCTGCACCACTATGCCGATTCCAAATTAGTTGTTAAATGCTCCATGGAGTTGAATGCCTATTTAAAGCAATGTCCTATAAGAAATTTTCTTAAATGTTTTAAATGCTACAGGTAATTTCTGTTTTCCTTTCTCCAGTGCTTAGATTTTGGAGATCTTCTGAAGATAGTGGAAAAAAATTCCTTTGGATTGCATTTGGCGTACTGGGTCCATTTCTTAACATTGTCAATATTTCCAGTTTTCTAAATTATTGCCCTTTCCCCTGGCATGGGCTTGGTGGGGACTAATGACTGGGGGCACATCCACGCTGCCTGGCTGGTGCCCATGCCTGTGCATGTAAGCCCTGTGCTCCTTACAGGAAGGACTGTGAGAAGACACCATCATGTTCATCCTCATCATCATCCTCATCACTGCTGGAGCCTGGGCCAGCTACAGGGAAGCGGGCGTTGGATGAGCGCTCAGCTGATGTGCTCCACTCCACTGAGCTGGTGAGGATGGGAGGGGGCACGGCAGCCTCCAAGCTGTCCAGCTTGTTGGTGTCACTTTCTGGCTGCCCATGTGCAGCTTGTCCATCCTGGGGCAGGGGTCTTGAGTCTGGAGGTGGTGTCCCTGGACCCACTGGTCGCTCATGCCGCTCAATCCAGGCATTGTAGTAGCGCACGATGTTCTCATGGTGCAGGCGCGACAGCAGTGTCACCTCGCCCTTGATCCTGCGGAAGTGCCTACTGGCTGGGTTGATGGGGATGCGCTTCACCGCGTAGCAGCAGCCATCCAGCTTGTTTTGGACCTAACATGCAGCAAGGGAAGAGACCCAGGTAAGGTCGGCAGCCCATAACCTTGCTCAAACTAGCATTTAGCTGGCATGGCCCCATTCCCTCCTGAAGAGAAACCGGAGTTCTGAGAACCAACAGCTACAGTCAAGAACTACAAGGCTGAAATTCTTACACTAAAGAAAGTTTTTACACTCAAATTTAGTAACAGCTTACATAGACCAGAATGTACCAAATGTGCTAAAAGATTCTGGGTAAAACGTAGCTTTCATTCACATCATTAATTTTACTGACAATTAGTTCCCTGTTCTTCTAATGTCTTATCCACTATTTAAATTTTAAATAAATTTTGGTTTTAAAATAAAAATTATTTTCTAAAGCCAGTGTAAGTTCAGATGATGATTTTAGTTTCTGCTCTTTTATATTTAAAGCACTCAAAACAAAGTAAACTCCAGAAATTTTAAGAGACTAAAAAGCAAATGGCTAATTCTTAATTTTATAAAGCTGTCAATTTGGACAAGTTACTTTTTTTCCTTAAGACTCAATTTTCTTACTTACAAATAGTATTTTTTGTTATCAGGAAGTACCAGCACTGCCAAGGAGGAAGAGGTTAGGTGTTATGGTTTTGATTTGAGGTGTCCCCCCAAAAAGCTTATGTGACAATGCAGGAATGAACAAAGGTGAAAGGATCAGATTAGGAGAGTTATAACCTAATCAGTGGATTAATCCATTTTATGGATTAATAATTTCAAAATTTGCCTGAGGTTATACATATCTACTAAGAGATGAAACCAAGTAGGAAGAGGAGAGAGTGAGT